TGCTTCTAATACATATCTTCATTACATGGTGATAAATGTACTGATGCACTGGGTTCAAAAACTACAACTTGCCTACTGGCATTTGTCTTAAGATCTCCTTAGACAAAAGTCAATACCAATTAAGATTCACACGACTGTGCAGTCTCAACAAATCAACCTTCCAAATAAAATTAATTTGTTTTTAAAGCATTACACAAGAATTTACGAAAACTGATCTCCAATCCGTAGAAAGCGTTAAAAATCGACTGTAGTGCAGACATCATAACTAAACGCTTCCAATCCCATTTCTACTAAAAAAAAAATAATCAATGAACAGTAAGTACTGACTGGAGTTTGAGTGACAGGTAATACAGCTGTAGTCCAGCTAAAGGAATCGGCAGCCAATCACAGAGAGGCAGACTTCCATGGGTAGCCGGTCGTCAACACTCCCCATAGACTGAGGTCTCCCTCCTTTTGTTTACTGGCGCACTTGTCATATCTCTACATGCATATCAATGATCCTCGGTATGAATTATTCAGCTAATCTATCACTTGGTCAGCTAAATACTCCTAAGTCACTCAGTGTTTTCAAACGCCCGATCAAGTGTGACAGATATACGTTCTAGTCTATTCTCGTACCTAACATTAGTAATTTTTTCCAGTCCAAAAAAAAAAAGCCGCACCAACAAATTTTCTTTACCTTACAGGTAAATTATTGATGAATATACACTCGATCTTGTTGATACATCACTTAAGACGATCTGCCAAGCTTGCTGTGAAACAAAAGTTGAAATGACATAAACATTAGCTACAGATAGCACCCAATCCAAGTCATCAATAAACAATTTGCCTTCATAACCACCAAAGAGGCTGATAAAAAAGCTCCGTCTTCCCCTCTTGCTCCTACAGTGCTTTTCTGCGTTATACTCCTCTCCACAATAAACCACATTATATGCCATAATGAGTGCACTTTTCACACAGATAAACCTCCCCTCAAAACACTGGAACAGTACCCAGATAAAACAATTCCATCATACCATTTGCATTAACTTTTCTACATTCATGGGAATTAGGCTCATTAAATCATTTATCCTATCTCTCCACTACATCAGATATGCAACCGCTCTAATTACCATTTAATTAAGCTTAGCACTAACAAGTATTCAACCTAAAAACCGAAAATGATTATTTTCCCCCCACTTGACACAAAATGCAAGCCAAAGGATCAAAGTTTTTCCTCTCTTTTCTTTTTTCTTATTTTCATAAGGCTTCTGACTTTTTATGAATATATTTCTTCCTCCTACATCTTCATTAATGCAAACGTAGGATTGATTCAGTAATACAATCAGTTGTATATGTAAGATGAGCATCATCTAAAGTCAAACCAGTGACAAGAGAAAATAATCATACAGCAATGACAGACGAATGTTCCCGGTGGATTCTAAGGACATTGACCACAACATGGGGTCATTCTTCATTTCTCCAAGAAAAACCACAGATAATGATTTCTTCAGATTCCAAATTTTTGCAACAAAAAGTGAACAATTCTATTGAACATGTCAAGAATATGAAGAATTCTTTTTCTTTGCAGTCAACCTGCAAAATAGACAGTTTTACCCTTTGCATCTGCATATTGATTTAATGTCCTGATGAGTCACAAGCTAATCGAAGCTATAAACGCTACTGTCTCAGTGGGTATATTGGCTAAAAACACTTTTTTGTTTGTGTTTTTTTTTCAGCTTGATAAAAATCTTTCCCTAAACATTGATCATGATGTGGGACACATTTGCATATTGAAATTTTTTTTTTAAATTAGCTAATATTTAGCATGACCAAAATTTTATGCACAGTGTGAACATGCTAAAAAAACTCTTTTTTTTCCCTTGCCCATTACTGAATTTTTTCTCTTTCTCCAAAAAACACTATTAAATACTAGAAGCAGAAGTAAACATCTGATTCATTCATTCTGTAGATAACTGATGGCACCATATTGTTTTCCTCAATGTGTGGCTTTTTCCAATCTCTTCAGACTATTATACCAGGTAACTGTTGATAACAGCTTCCTCCAGATCAGCTGATCCCCCAGCCTTGATCTACCTGATGGTTATAAGACATAGGTATGCCAGGGATGCCTGGTCGGCCCAGGTGATGCTTACATTAACATGAACAATGACATGTACAGATGGGGGAGTCGATTTAACTGTACAAATGACAGATGTGTAGAGGGGATCAAAAACAACTTAGAAAATACCACAGGAGTCAAATGCATGCTTCCCTATTACACTATTATCATAGAGTATTCAACTCTAAATCAGTGTTGTTGCTATTTTTTCAATTACATTTGTGTATGAGCCTATGTAATATAAAAAAGTTATAAAATGTATTTAGTATATTGTAATTTTGCAATTTTAAAATGCCTTGAGTTGTAACATTTGTGAAAAAATACATTTTATGGAGGACATAAATTCATGGGTCCCTTCATACCATGAAAACCATGAAAATTAACCCCCCACGAAAATTAGTGATTTCACAGTATCTAAATTAACCTACATCACAAATTTTTGTCTTAATGGTTAAATTTTAAAAGTGGGTGACCTTTTAACTAAACCAGGTCATCATACACCCAGTCTGTCTGTAATGGGTGGGGGGAAAAAATAATGGATCGTCCACGACTTTATGATTTTTTTCTCATTTGCCAGGAAACAATTATCTTTCATAATATGAGGTGTTAACAACAAAAGTAGTCTACACAATAAACATTTCCCCTTTGTATGACGGAGCACAAAGGGACCAAAGGCAATGTGACCTATCGCGAAGCTTTGAGTATGATATATTTGACTTTCGTAGTCATCGAAATTGCAGTGTTTGCAAATATGCAGATTTTTGTGCAGAGGGCTCTGCAGATTCGTGCAGACAGATCAATAACAATATTTCTCTGAAAATACAAGACAGCAATGCAAAACGAGTATTTACAAAACGATTAGGGAAACGTTTCCAAGTGTTCTTCAAATGAAAGCTAAAAAGTTGGCAAATATTCTGCTCTCCAAAAGATGATCTTTTTCCATGGATACCCAAATTTCTGCCTAATATGTTAATTTATAAATCTTTGATGTCTAATATGATGAATTTGATTACTTCCACAGATTTCGTTCTCAGATTGCCTGAGAGAGAATTATTTTCAGGACAATGCCCTTAGCTAGTTTAGCTTATAATACTTCTATTTCCTACCATATGTAAAACCACGGACATAAGAAAGCGTCATTGTAGATTCAAATTCTGACAAAGGAACAGCTGTCATTTCCAAGAAACCAAAAGGAAGCTTTATATATCCTCAGTTAATATCATACTATGGCAAGATTTCCTAGAGACAATACTACTATTCATCTGTCTTTTTCAAACTTGTGTACCATTTGTATAAATCTTACTGGCATTATAGAGTCGGCCAGTAGAAACTGAGGATGTAATTACTAAGAATGAATCATAGTCTTTGTTTCTTTTAATCAAGACCATCCATCTTGTCCTTCACTCGGACTTCTGCGGTCTCGTTGTTTCACTCCGTTCTAGGCAATCACATCGATTGCAGTGAAGACTGTATAAACTAGTCTGTCAAAGTGAGCATAAATAAGTCAACAACTCACACCATGACCTCAAACATCAATTCAAGCCGCAAAACACAGCTAGAAGACCGATTTTTTTCTTGCCCTTGAGTTTCATGATTACCAATTTGTTACACAAGTGACAATGGGTTTTTTTGTCCTTGAGTCCTTAGGTTACCAAATATGATAAACAAGTGAAACAATCGAATCAATGATCTTTGAATAAACTGAGATAAAGAATCAGTTATACAGTTAGACTAAAAATAGCAATTTTCAATTTATAATATAAGTATCATGAGTAATTAGAAAACTATGAAATTACTAATTTTCGTGGGGGTTTAATTTTTTGTGGTTTTCAAGGTATGAAGAGACCCTTGAATTTTTGTCCACCACGAAATGTAATTTTTCAGATATATTACTACTCAGTAATACTTCAACCATGAAATCAAATCCCTGTGAACCAATATATTTTCCTCAAACCACGAAGATTTGACCCCTCAAAAATATGTGATTTAACAGTATATTGATTTAAAATTCATATATGATATCATCAAGTATGCCTCTATGTTTTTTTTCCTGTTTTACACAACCCACAAAATAAATAACCAAAAACAAGTGCCCTCTGTTCTCTCAAAGTGTAAAAACCAACAACACTTATAAAATAGCCATTCTTTAGTTCATAAACTGAACTTCAAAATAACCTTAAGTTGTAAACCATGTTCTTACAAAGAAAACCCCAAAACTCCAAGTTTGTACAATTAGCAGTTTTCTATTCTTGCTGGTACCATTAACTAGTTCCCAAATCACTCATTTGTTTCCTATTATAGTGATCTAGTTTACTACCTCTTTACAAAATGTAGCTGGTACCATTACCTAGTTCTCTATCCTCTTACCTGTTTCCTACTTTATTGACCTAGTTTACAAGAACCTCTTTAACTAGATAGCTGGTACAATTAAGTAATTCTCCATCCTCTCATGTTTTCCTACCACAGCCACCTAATTTACTGGAACCTCTTGAAAAGGAAGCTGGTTGAATTTGGTTCCCTTAACTAGTTCCCACTTCACTCGTTTGTTTTCTCTACAGTGACCTATTCTTTGGAACCTCTTGACTGGACACTTTTTCTACAGTGACCTATCTGTAGGAACCTCTTGACTAGACACTTTTTCTACAGTGACCTATCTGTAAGAACCTCTTGATTAGACACTTTTTCTACAGTGACCTACCTGTAGGAACCTCTTGACTAGACACTTTTTCTACAGTGACCTATTTGTAGGAACCTCTTGACTAGACACTTTTTCTACAGTGACCTATCTGTAGGAACCTCTTGACTAGACACTTTTTCTACAGTGACCTATTTGTAGGAACCTCTTGACTAGACACTTTTTCTAGTGACCTATTTGTTGGAACCTGGACCTATATCTTACCTGTTGTGATACTCGTCTCTCATTTTGTGTTCCTCCCCGGCGTGGACCACTCTCTGAGTCGTACTGGTCACTAGCTCCCCGTCCTTCATGTACTTTCTGGTCTTCGTCATCGTCCTGTACTGGCTCTTGCTCTCCTGTTTAAAAAAAATCATAACAGTTTGAAAATGGTTTTAACAGTCCTAATGCAAAAAATAACGAATTAAAAGCAAATTAAAATCATTTCTTAAATGATACTGCAAAATGTGAATTATGATGTTAAAATTAAAGTGAAAGAAGAGAGGAATTTGGCTGCAACATACTTTTGAATGCAAAGATATTGATAATTTAATAAGTCATCCTGCAAATTCTATTGTCAGGATCTTCTATAAATTATTATCAGTTTTTCAAAAGAGCTTAAGGATCAGAATTATGAAAAGAGCGAAAAAGGTGTCAAATACATACATACGTATTCAAAAAAGATAACAAATCATGCTTCAGAAATCCAAGAATCATGGTAACTATAGACACTATTCTTATTCCAGTCTATTGAATCTAGTTTCATTCTTACATTACACAAAAGAAAGTTAACAAGATAATAACAACAGAAAAATACTGCTAGACCAATGACCTGCACACACAGAAACATGGAACTCATTAATTGGACTTGTTTATCAATGGGCAAAATGCCCTTCCCCAACAGCTAAGAACAGAAAGGGCAATCTGCATCATTTATAAGTTAAGGTGCATAAACCCTCTGCTCATCCATTTAAATGTTTACTTTACTAAATTATAAACAATTATATAGAAAAAAAATAACAACAAAAAAGCCATTTCAACTTATAAATATAATACACATTTGTGTCATTAAGAGTTATCTCTCTTATCAGAGGGTCAATGAACCTTAACAGTTAATGAAGATGGCTAAAGCATGTACCAAAGTCAACTCTGAAGAAAAAAAAATCAACAGGCCTTCAGCTACAAAACTTTAGATTTGTGAAACTAAGCATATTTTTAAATATAGAAACACAATGCTATCTTGGGAGTTTACCATTAAAAATCTTAATTGCATAATTCAGGCAGAGGGAAATAAAATTCCACCTCAAAGAATGACTGAGCGTGCATGTTTCTCACTATCTCCCTCCTTTGAACTTTACTATCTTAAGAATGTTAGACCACATGTTTTATTTCAGTACTCTCAATTTGAAGAAAATGCAATCCTAAATCAATGCACTAGACATTTTTACAAATTTTAAATAGAAAGTGAGAAGTGCATGCTTCCATAATACTGGATAGTTACAGAAAAATCAGAAATTCCATAGCTAGGGGACCCAGAGGATTGAAGTGAGTAAAAACTGGGAATAACTTAACCATAGTGGTAGAAAAAAAGCATTTTAGCCCTGCACATGTAACATTTCGCACTCAATTAATTTTCAAACTCATTGAAAATTTACAGAAAAATACAGTTTTTGCAGTACATATATATAAAAACATTTTTTTTTTTGTTTCCTTTCTCTCATTTTTTGGGAACATAAATCTGATTTTTGCAATCTGTTTCTGCACTGAATATCTCAGTATGCTATGAAATGTTTTGGGTATACAGATTATGTTTACTATGAGCTGACTGGTTTTTCTGAATCTTAATGGAAGGTCTGAAAGTGAAGAAATACCTTGCAAAAACACTACACCAATAAATCTGCCAATCTGCTTTCTTGATAAAATTTTTAGAAATAAACATTTAATGATCATGCAGATAGATACAGAATTTTGTATGGATTTACACTGCAATCAGTAATCAGTTAATGTGGGTATGTAGTCAATGTAGATATGTTAAATATTATGGAAACATAATCAGTGATACTGATACACAAAAATATTTACAATATTAGCCTTAGGAAGAATGTTTACTGCTATTAAAGACAGATAACTCTGAATGTGTACTGCCATCAATGAGAGATTTCCTTTTACATTTCCTTTTTCTTTTGGTGACTTTCAAAGTTTTTCAATTTTATACATTGGGCCATGTAAGCATTTAATTTTAAGTATATTTTATACCTTATATTTCTATCATTAAGTTACTATGAAATAATTTAACACGTAGTAAGTGATTATAATTTTTACAAGTGCATATATTCAGGCAATAACAATATAATCAGAGAAAACACATGGTATTAGTAAGAATAGTTCTTATTGCCATATAATTATATATAAACTTAATATTTACAGATAATGCTTATATGGTCATAGACTTACTTCTCTGTAAAATTTTATGATACATTTTGTCAAGTTTTCTCTCTGTCAATAGTATTAGTGTGGTTAGTATGCATGACAATGGATAAATCATGTTAATTGGGAGCTTATATTAGAAAAAAAAAATTCAAAGCTATAGTATAAATTCGCTGCTGATGTCAACAACAACCAAAAAAAAAAAAAACATGCACACAAGACAATGTAAACCTGAATGAATGAAAAGGATGATTACTTTAATTTTTCCTCTTATAATCCATTTTTTAAATGAACAAAATTTAAAACTCTTGCTTCACATGTACTTACACTTCTGCCCCTGATGTGTTTAGCTCGCCTCTCCACGGGCCCGTCCGCCTTCTTCTCCCCCTCTCCCAGGCTATCCACCGTGGTCACACTCTCCGTATCTGACCGCTGGTCTTCGTCCACACTGGTTACTTGCGAGAGATCCTTTGATTTTCGTTTTGGCTCCTTGATCACTTTTGTTTCCATAGTGTCTAAGTCGGTCTGAGGCACAATCTCTGTACTGTCACTGCTATTAGACATACTCTTGTCTATACTGTTATCAACAGATGGGGAGGACTTGACCCCCACCACATCCCCATTGATGACCACTGTAGTCCCTGAAGACGGGACAGGCTGGCCATTTATTGTTATTCCCTTATCAGGCAGTACCTGTCCGTTAATTGTGATCACAGAGTCTTTTTTCTCCGATTCACTTGTCTTTTCACTCTTTTCACTAGTAGTGTCCTCATCAGTAATTGTCACATTAACCACCTGAATTTCCACCTCGGAACTCTTTTCAGCACTTTTTGTTTCTTCCCTTCCTTCAATTTTCTTGTCCATCTCTGCCACTTTTTCTTTTTCCTCCTCGATATTGCCTGGTACCCTTTCCTCTTTCTCAGGCCCCTCTGTGGGAACTTTGACTGGTTCCTCGGAGACAACTTCCTTTTTCTCCTCAGTCTTGACCTCCTCCTCTTTAGCTGGTTCCTCTGAGGGAGCCTTAACTGGTTCCTCGGACCCCTCTTTCTTTTCCTCGGTTTCCTCTTCTACGAGTTCGCCCTCGATGTCTGACATGTTATACTCCTCCTCTTCTTCTTCTTCATCAGACTGCTCTATCAGCTCCTGTACGGTGTCTAACACCACCCCTGGTACAGAGGGCGCAAGTTTGGTGGACTTGATGACATCATTGATTATTTCCTCCACCACAACATCCACCATAGGCTCCACGTCAACTTTGTCTTTCTCTGGGCTGGGTTCCTTTGTTTCTACAGCTGGACTCTCAATCTGCATTGCAAAGGAAGTAAAAAATTTTAAAATTCATACATTTAATTTGTTTTTCTTTATAAAATCTTTGTGGATTACATCATGTACACCTTCTTTATAAGTTTCAAAACGTTAATAAATTTGATTGGAATATTGTTGATGTCTTCTTAACAAAATGCTTTTTGATGAAAATTCAGCATCTTATTTTCTTAAGGAAGATTCATCAATTAAAGTAAATTTCTTTTATTTATTTAGGGTAGAAGTTTATGCATACAGTTTATCACTGCTTTAGCACAGAAAACAAATCCAGACACAAAGACACTAGACTTACCTCCTTTTTCTCTTCTGCTGCAGGAGGAGCCACCTCTTCCTTCTCTTCCTTCTTCACCTCCTCCTCGGCCTTGGCCTCGGGCTTTTCTTCCTCCTTCTTCTCCACCTCAGCTGCTGGCGGTGCTGGAGCCACCACCCGTTTAGGTGAAGGTGTCTTCTGTTTTTCTGGCTCTATCTTAGGCACCGGTTCAGGAGTGGAAGGTTTGGGTTCAGTTTTAACCGGTTCCTCTGGTACCTTCTGTAAGACATTGATCAGGTCAATCAAGATTCACAGAATTTCTGTGGGAAAGTAATTTTTTTTTCCTTTCTTTCTTTTTTCTTTAATTAAACAGACTTATTAAGAAGGAATTCTTACATACTTTTATCACATATATCTTAAGGGAAAACTTTTGTCTTGCATGGAGATACATGTACAATATACGAGGGTTGATCCAAAAGTAATGTCACTCTGTCAATATCTTTAATATTTGGCGTCATATTATCAAATATTATGTACCAAAAGATGCATAAGAATAAATCTAATCAAAATTGAAATTTTCATTGAATAATGTTTAATTAAATTAATTTTATGGACGTTTAAAATATCAAACATAAGGTTTGTCGCCGCATCACAAATAAACGTCGCGTTTTAAAGTGTAAATTGTTAGAATGAGAAAAGACAAACACATTAAAAAGCATCTAAAAAAAGTGTCTAATCGCCCAGTATTTTAAAAGACAAAATTTTTCGACATTTTCTAGTCTTAAGTTGAAAATAAAATGACGCCATTGCTTTTTGAACATAAACATTGTTGTTTTAATCTGCTGTATTGAACAAAGGAAATGTCGAGATGGAGAAAAACTGCTGGAACGAGCTGTGATGCATTTTTGCTACAAAATGGGGGAAATCTCTCGTAGAAACAGTTACGATGATTAATCAGACATACATAGGAGAGAATGTAAATAAGAGACTTGTTTATAGATAGCTTCAGGGATTTCTAGTGGGTCATGGGTCACTGAATAATCAGCAGAGGATAGAAAGACCGAAAAAAGGGGGGTCGGGCGGAAACGTTCAATGGTGTCTTACGTTGTCCAAAAAAAGAGACGGTTAGACAGTTACAGCAATAGAAAGTTTGACTTATGGTATTGTTCAAAGAATTTTAACAGAGGACTAAATTTATATATAGAGTGAGTGTACAATGGATGCCAATAATTCTTATGAGAAGAGAAATATATGTGAATGTGTTCGTGAATCTCAAATATTTTTTTAATGAAACGAAGGGGAAGCGCTGCCTAAGGTGTATGACGGCGCGTATCCATCATATGACGTTATTTAGGTGCGGTGACTATCGTAATTGCATTTTGTATATAATTCGATATTTTGAAAAGTATGAATGATTTCAACTTGATTTTCTCAGGACTGATTTGTAATAAATATATCTTCGATCATGTAAAATTTTGTTGATTTACGTCGACTAGTAGCAATTTTATCGAACTTGTGACATTACTTTTGGATCAACCCTCGTACAACTCTGATTTAGCTTCTTGTTTATAAGATTTTTTTATCAAAATCTATTAAAAGTCCATTTTAAATCTGGGATATACAGATTCTTTTAATATTGTTTTCATTACATATAACTCATTATACAAAATTTTGAATTTCCTAGTTCACATATGCTACAGAAAAAGTAAAAATAAAGCAGTGTACAATATCCAATTGCTCCAAACAACTATTTTACAAATTTTGCTTACTGTCTTCTCTGTGACTTTGGGTTCTTCCTTTTCTGGGGTGGTTGCTTTGCTATCTGACTCATTTTCCTCAAGGTCCAAAATCTTTGAAGATACATCACTCATATGTCTCTGCAAAATACAATTTGAATTATCTCTGTTTTTCTTCCTTTCAATGTATCTTTCAGCAAGCACACCATATTCATAAAAAGAAAAACATACTGTATTGCAATATTTTTTGAAGGTGAGTACTTCATAAATACATTTTTAAGGGACAAATGCTTTTAATCAATTCTCTGTTAGGGGACATAAAATGACATTGTTTCATATAGATTTTTTTCAGCTTGCATTGCCAATAAAAGTTTCCACACACCTTCATTTCTAGTATTTCCTGGTCCTCTGGAAGATCTTCCACGATTTCTTCCACTTCAGCCTTGGACTCCATGATCAAGTTCATCACATCCTTCTTATCATTACAGCCCGCTATAAATGGATGCTGCAACAAATCCATACAAATATCAGCACTTTATTTTCCTTAGACGGTTTACTAATTAAAGTTTCTTTATATTTCTAAAAGAGTTAAAACTTTGAGGATTTCACAAAAAAAACCTTCTTTGCAAAGTTAAAAACTTGAAATGTTGGTGATGAACTCATGAAAAAATGATTTTTAAATTGAATGAAATTCAAATAAAGTTGAATAAGTATATTTTAAGGACTCCATGTAAATTGTCTTCCAATAAAATAAAATTCTTTAAAAGAAACAGTGTTTGCAGTTTTCATTTTAAAAATTTGAAAATGGACATTTTTAAAAAATACATGAGGATATATCATAGTTAAAGGGAGATAACTCCTCACTCATGCTCACCTCTAATAGTTCTGATGTTGTTGGTCTTTGATCAGGATTTTTAACAAGACATTTTGCTATAAATTCTCGGAAGGTTTTTGACCTGAAAGAAAAATAAAATGGATAATTTTCGCAAAACAGATACGCAGCACAGTTAAGGTTACAAAAAGGAGGCGGAGCCTATTTTCTATTGTAAAACTTGACTATGACATCATACACAATATACGTCATACAACATTTCTTTAAAATACCACAAAATGAGTTTATCTGCTAGTTTAACCAAAAAGAAATTGTCAAATTACATAAAAACTTACTACAAAGCGTTTGTTTTGCGTTAGTTAAATCCCACATAACAAGTTATAAACAAGTCACTGATCGCAATACACTTGTCAATATGACGTCATTTCTTACGATGACATAGTTTGTATGCAGTGAGAGACGTATCAAGTAATATTTTCTCAACAAAATATGTATTTTATAATTAAATAAAATATTATTTACAGATATTCTATCGGCCAATAACTAGAATTTAATGTCTTCTTCACTATTTTATTAATATATTTTCTGTACATTACTTATTTAATTGACACTGCCGTATATTTGTATGCAAGTACATCGGAGGGTAATGTGGGGGGTTATATAAATCGATCTAGTGCAAGGGCATATACTCTATGGATCAAAGTAAGCTTTTACATTTCAACTTTTTAGAACTATTTAGGTATCTGAAAAGTGCTGCGATCCTGATGAAATCTTAAAAACAATTTAATTATATCAATATTTCATGCCGCTGACCAGCAAATAATATAGCATTCTGTCATTCAAGTATAATTTTAACAATGAAATTGCAGAAATTAGACAGGATCGCAGCACTCTTTAGAAACTACAATGCGTGTTGAAAATATATATATACTAAACTTGGAAATTTAACTTGGTTATGCCCTTGCACTAGTGATATTTACATGTAACATCAATACTTCAAGTCAACGTGCTAAAATCGCGTTACTGCCGCATCACATGACTAGTCTAAATATAAAATATAATCGTCCTCGATATGTACATGTAGTTATTAATCATAATAACAATTATCCGATATAAATAATGTACTAAAAATAATCGCCATCCCGATTACATTTTTAAATACAAAATTTAGTCGATATTTCCATTGCGCACCTTTATATAACTGTACTGTGTACTTACACTGAAAAAATTTAAAATGCATTTCTGGGTTCAGGAATAAAACAAAACATGCCTTTTATATACGTTTAAAAATGTGAAACTCTGTGTTCAGATATAATGTATATTTGGTTTGAACACAACAAATATTCATAGTAAAAACCATCTGCAACACTCAGGGCACATAAGCTACCATATATACTAGCCCATGTCATTTTTTGGGGGGGAAGGGGTTAAATTTTGTCCAAAATCCATGTCTGACTTACAAGAGAGCCGTTTTCTGGACGGCAAAATGTAGCATTTTATAAGCATTTCTGACGATTATCCTTGAACAAACTCTTGATATATATATTATCATTTTTACATAACATACAAGTGTTGACATATTTGAATAATTTTATTTTTATATTGTGTGCATTACTTATTTGTTTTCAGGATTAAAAATTAAATAGCGATATCATTTCCAAAAATATGAACTGAAACCAGATTGAGTCAGTAGAGCATTGATTTGAAATTGTCAACTGATTCTGGCAAAAAGTTATACCTACTTGTAAGTGGATCAATGGCAAATCCCCTCAAAATAACCTCAAAAATTACAACTGACTTATAGGCTGACAAACTTATAGGCGAGTATACACAATCATTTAGAATTGTTTCTTGTAAAATACAAGTATACTAACCATTTGGATGGCTTGGCAAGTGTTGGGGGGTCTGATTTCTGGATTTTAATTAACACTCTCATAGGATGCATGTCATGGTTCGGGGGCTCAATCTGAGCAAACTCAATTAGAGTGATTCCTGAAAATAGGTATATTAGATCACTGTAAATTTGTACAAATAGCCATTTTTTATTTATTCGTGTTTTAAATATATTTTGTACTGAAAACTATGCACATTTTATCATACATCTATCTTACTAAAAATATGCACTTCTTATCGATACATACATTCCAATTTTTTGACAAATTTTTGCGAATGGGTAAATTATACACTATCGATACTCACACTTTACTCTGGGGAGACAAATCGTTAAATGATGTTGAAAATGAATACCTATTTTCTATTGTACAAACTTTCATTAAAAAGTCAGGACGATTTGGTTGATACAATAATTATTTCTAATTGTAAATCTTATACAGCATGTTTATTACGTATGGAATGTATTCTGTTGAATGTGTTTTACTCTGATTATTATATATTATGTTTTTCTGTGTTATTTCATTTTAAGCTGAAACCCATGTGTGTAAATATGTTTGGTATAATGTATATGTAGAGAGAGAGCGTAATAAGTTTTTAGAACTTTTGTCCAATCCTTATTGTAAAGTATATACAATAAAATATGTTCAAATCATCATCTTTCAGGAGATATGTGAGAATAAAATAATAAAATAATTAACACTCTCAGTGTCTGTCTGCTAATTAATTATCCTACCCAATGACCATATATCTGCCTTGAAGTTGTAGGGACTGTCTTTTAGTGTCTCACACATTATCACCTCTGGGGCCATCCTAAAAAAAAATAAATTTGATTTAATCTTTTTTTTTCTTTTCATATACTTTAAAAAGAAGTCATCCATTTTCAATGTACATATTGAAGAAATGAGCATGTCTACATTAAGTTTTAGGCACTCAAAAGTAATTATATATGCACAAGTAAATGTTGCAATTCATAAATCATAGTTATTTTTCCAACTCCAATAATTTAGCTTTAAAAAACCTAAACTTGATAGTAAGTAGAAATACTGTACTTTAAACAAAATAAAGGTTTCGTGAGCTAAAACACTCAAACAAATTACATTTCCCTTCCCTTCTACAGGGTATGAGAAAGCAGATAATATGAAGAAAATTTAAAATATCTCAAAAACAGACATAAATATAGATGTTAAAAACATATTTATAAGAAATGCTCACTGGAAACTTGGACTCAGAAGATAGATTTTCCCATTTGAAATTTATACCAATATTTCCTTTTCAAGCTAGGAATAATGGTGAAAAGAAGATTTATTTTTACCAATATGGAGTTCCAATAAATGAATCTCGTCTCTGATTTGTTCTTGTATTCTTTGCAGAAACTCCAAAATCAGCTGAAATATAAAAGATTGAAGATTTATAACTCATTTATACATGCACACAATACTTCTTTTTACTTAATTATCATAACATTTTTAAAAATTAAATTGAAATAGTATGCTGTAATAAATTGTTTTTTATCAAGGATCAATAGATCTTTGATTTGGACTAAATTTAATTGAACTAGCTAATGAATATTCAAAATTCTAGCTGATTTTGCCAACCCTGGAGTCAAGTGAACTTCCAGTGACAACTTCATGTAATTTACGGCTTTGCTGATCATATTATTGGTGACAGCTGTGGACAGCTATTTTCCACTAAATTGTAAAGTTGCTTTGAAAGTTCATTGTGGATGGCAGTGTCTGGTATTTTAACAAGATATGCAGACATGCAGCAGGGGGAAAAAGGCAGTAAAAAGTGAATACAGTGATACATATTTTTATAATTGAAAATTTGAGATACAACCATTTAATTTTTCAAAATATAGTAGTCTGAGCATTATGTAACCAGCCTTACCCCCCCCCCCCCCAAATCCCCTCTCCTCTGGAGTAAAATTCAAGTCCCCAAGCTTACCTAACTTCACATCCCCCTCCTTACCTAACTTGACATCCCCCTCCAGACTTACCTAACTTGACCTCCCCCTCCTTACCTAACTTGACATCCCCCTCCAGACTTACCTAACTTGACCTCCCCCTCCTTACCTAACTTGACATCCCCCTCCAGACCCCCCATCCAGACTTACCTAACTTGACCTCCCCTCCTTACCTAACTTGACATCCCCCTCCAGGCTTACCTAACTTGACCGCCCCCTCCTTACCTAACTTGACCTCCCCTCCTTACCTAACTTGACCTCCCCTCCTTACCTAACTTGACCTCCCCTCCTTACCTAACTTGACATCCCCCTCCAGGCTTACCTAAATTGACTGCCCCCTCCTTACCTTACTTGACCTCCCCTCCTTACCTAACTTGACCTCCCCTGCTTACCTTACTTGACATCCTCCTCCAGGCTTACCTAACTTGACCGCCCCCTCCTTACCTAACTTTACCACCCCCTCCAGACTTACCTAACTTGACGTCCCCCTCGGATGTTAGCAGTACATTTCCGGCCTTGAGATCTCTATGGATGACCTTGTTGTTATGCAGGTACTCCAGCCCACTACACATGTTGTTACAGACGTATCGGATCTGGTTCTCTGTCAGGGGTCGCTCCAGCTCCACCATGATGCTGTCGATGGCCCCTCCCCCACAAAACTCTATATACATCTGAAATGACACAAGCATGAAGGAATAATTTTTTTAAAAAGAGAATATAATATTGAAGTATTATATAAATTAACATGCTCAATAATGAATTGTTTTAAAATAAATTGTGTATAAAGGCAAAAAAAAAATCGCTTTTTGGTGTTTCATATACTTTCACACTAATCATAAAAGGACAGTTTATCTATTTGGAGGAAATAATTTTTACCCATGATTTAAATAAACTTCTACTTTTTAATTTTTTTTTTTTTGGTATTTGTAAAAAATTGCAGTATCAAACATTTTTTATTTTTTTTTTAAATATATTTGAAAGTCATCAGAATCCATATGAACCATGACTCTGAGGCTATATTTGTATGCATGTTAAACTTTTAAACTTCACATGAATGTAAATATCAGGAATATCTGAAAAATGTTATACAATGCAGACACGCTGAATATAACCGGTTTGTTTGTAATGTTTCTATCTACCACCCACTAATCACAGTAAACATGCATGGACATATGACTCATGTCACAGTTCTGCATCAGGCAATATTTGTGGAAAATATTTATCGTAACTAGCTTCCTTCTAGTCCTATATGATAAATATAAACTTCCCTATTGACCATTTGAAATTTTAATATGATAAAAATTTCAAAATATTGTGATTAAACTTCTAAGGCTACACCATACTCGAACAAGGAAAATGACAATATTTTGTGTGACAAATATGTAAACAAAGTTCCTCTTGTGTGCCTGGCAAGCAGACCCTATTTGTCAGTTAACAAGTTAAACTCAATTTTCTGAATTTTTTATGTCAATTATGCCGTGTTCTGTGCAATGAAATACTTCTGCAAGAGTAACATAAGTAACGCCATATAAAAAAGCAGCATTCCATACAATGCCCCTGTCAAATGATAAAGACTCGTATCATTTTCTCACATATTTCTTAACAGTATTCATATAGTAACAATTCGTAATTATACATAAAAATACTTCCCACATTCTTTAATTCTAAACAATCAAACAAAACCCTATCCTTTCCTTTGGAGCCAATAGATAAGAGGCTAAATGACTTGTAACTATATAAACCCATACCAAAAGTTTCCCATCGAAGACAAAGGCTTCGTAGAGCCCCACTACGTTCTTGTGACGGCATTCTGTGAGGATGTCGATTTCTACGGAGAAGTCTTCTATATCCTCCTCGGACTTTATCTCCACCTGCTTCAGGGCTGCGAGGCTACCATTCTCCTTGTTCTGGGCCTACAAAACACCAAGGTTACATCTCAGTTTAATTTGAAAAAAACATGAATGCAGAGTTTTTGAAGTGACAGGAATTTTTTTCAATATTTTTTTTAATTGATCTTTAAATTCACTTTCACTGTAAACTTGGAACTTTCAAAGAATAGATAATGGAGCTGCATGTCCATAAAAATTGAAAGAAGAATTGAAATTGAAAGGGACATTTAAAAAGTAGAAGGGTGGTCTGGTGTTTCCTCACCTGATGAGGAGTTTAGGAGAAATACAAAATAACTGGGGGATCCTACTGAGATAATCACATAAATTGGGGGGAGGGGGGTTGGGGTTGATGGGAAAGGGGGGGGGGGGTTGGTGGGTTGATAGATTTACTTCCTCAACTTGTGGATTTCGTTTTGTGGAAGGGGGAGGGAGAGGCCATTACAAACTCCTTCAATTCCCTCTTCCCTAGTGTAAAGTTTCATGTTACAATTAAAATAATATTGATATTATACTTATTGTAAAAATCCATGCTAGATCATATCAATTTCAAGATAAAAAGAAAAAAAAATTAATTCCTTTATACCCGGTACTATAATAGTTGGGTGTTAACATTTTCAATGCAATTCCATGACTGCTAGGACTACATCATGTTTAATACGGTTAATTAAGTCCGTAACAAATTCAGCCCATACTTCCTAGAGGTTACATGTTAACAGTTATATATAGTATTAGGATTGAGGATCAAAATAAAGGTCTAAATATACATGATGTACATACATGCATTTCAGGGTGTATCTACATTATATTACCTTTTAATTATAAATTGTCTACTTTTCATTCTTGAACTACAGTTTAAATGTCAAATTTTAAAATATTTCATATTTTGAGACATTCCACCATTGCCTTCTGATTTTATCCCAATAAACAGAGATGTGTACTCCCCATCATAATGTCATCTCAGCTTCCTGTTTAAAAGGGGGTCACTTATAAAGAGTTACAAAGCCATTTCCTTCTACGATCTGTCATCACAACTTTTTGTTGCTCATATGCATATAATTTTTATACTTTAGTTTACAAAAAAATCTGTTTTCTCTTAGATAACAAATTAACACAGTATGCTAAGAGATTAACAGGACTGAATATACTTCATTAACTTCTGCATTTCTGTGTTACATAAATACCGTTATCACCCTGTTTTAATTTTCTCACACTTTCTTCCCCCAATTTTCATTTAGTAGATAAGACTTAGTGAAATTAACCTTCCACTGAAGAGAGAATGAGAGGGAGATTCTAATTGTACCATAGCCAACTAGGTTGAACTGGATAATATTCTCGTACATGCTACAATCTATTGATCTTTCTTAAAATTCATTGTCCCTCCTTGTTTCTTTATGTTGTTTCAATTTATTTTTAAAATCTGAGTTAAAAGTGAAAGTGCTTCTTGACTGAAAGTTTATCACACCCAACACTTCAAAGTTTCCATTCAAGTGTGCAAGATAGAGGTTGAGTCATGGATTTATAAAAATAAAACCTTGAATTCTTTCCTCTACACAAACAAAAAATACAGCACATCAGTTGAATAGGCGTTCATTATTTGAAAACTTGATTACACTTGAGGATGATTCCTTATAAAATCACTAATCATAGCTTTGAAGTGCTTGAAAAGAAGATTTTAAAAGGTTTCCCTGTATATCCCTATGTAAAACTTGGGTCGGCCATTTTGGCCCCACCCTTGCCCCGGGGGGCATGATCAAACTTGAATCTACACTACCTGAGGATGATTCCACATGAGTTTCACTTTCCTGGCCCAGTGGTGTTTTTAAAGATTTTTCCTATATATTCCTATGTAAAACCTGGGTCGGCCATTTTGGCCCTACCCTTGCCCTGGGGGGCATGATTTGAACAAACTTGAATCTACACTGCCTGACGATGATTCCACATGAGTTTCATCTTTCCTGGCCCAGTGGTTCTGGAGAAGAAGATTTTTAAAGATTTTTCCTATATATTCCTATGTAAAACTTGGGTCGGCCATTTTGGCCCTACCCTTGCTCCGGGGGGCATGATTTGAACAAACTTGAATCTACACTACCTGAGGATGCTTTCATATGAGTTTCATCTTTCCTGGCCCAGCGGTTCTGGAGAAGAAGATTTTTTAAAAATGCCATTAATTTTTAAGAAATTCATGATTATCTCCCCTTGGAAAAGGGCGTGGCCCTTCATTTGAACAAACTTGAATCCCCTTCACCCAAGAATACTTTGTAGCAAGTTTGGTTGAAATTGGTCCAGCGGTTCTTGAGAAGAAGTCAAAAATGTGAAAAGTTTACAACGACGACAACAACAACAACGACAACGCCAATGCCAACGACGACAGACGACGGACAAATTTTGATCAGAATAGCTCACTTGAGCCTTCGGCTCAGGTGAGCTAAAAATACAAAGTATAGGTCTTAACGTATTATTATGCAAAAAAATGTAAGGCCAAATTAATCATTTAACTTTTAGTGTGTAATCATTTTCTGAAAAGTTTCTTGACTTATCCATCACAGAGCTAGTATTGTACATTAACTCATGTTGAGATATGTGTGTTCTACTTTAGTGACCTATCCTCGTTAAAATTGAATTCACAAGGAACTACTTAACTTTTATATTTCACTGTTTCTATGACCAGATAAGTGGATGTAAAAAAAACCTGACAGCACATTTGAATTACACACAGATTTTCTTACTTAAAAAATACATCCTCTCTCTCAATTCACGGGAAGAGAAAAAGATTTTTGAATCCACTAAAAGCATAATTACACACATAGGTCTAAATCTCACTAAATGAAAAGCTATAGACCTAGTCTGAACATACTTTAATAAGTTGGCTATGATAAAATGAAGTTGTTGGTATATATTTACAAAATGATAAGGTAGATCTATGAAATATATAGCCACAGTCAGGTGTTGGGGGTCGTTACTGCCCACATGGCCAGGTAATTACCAATGTGTCGACCGTGTCGCCATGTGTCAGGCACCTGTAAGTCAAGCAGCTGACACAGAGAATGGTCAGTCGCAGCCTCAGCTGTTAGACCATTAGTTTAAGGTTCACCTTCCCTAAGTCTATTCACCTTTGTTTTTACACCAATGACTACTGAAAATAAATGAACTTTTTGATGAATCCTTAATTTGCACACAATTTAAGCATACCTTCATTTTGACCAAAATTCATTTCAATTAATGACTTTTTTCATTTTTAAACATCAGTTCTCTCATTAGGAGTTATCTCCCTTAATTATCAGAGGGTCAAGAACCATAAAAGCATCAAGTTCATCACCACATTGTCCCCTGGCTGTCCAATAGGCTATACACATATTATTCCTAATCAGATATTTACTGCAGTGAAAGGGTACCTGCAGATACTTTTGTTATTAATGGTGAAGGGTCATCAATCATTTCCTAGCTAGTCCTTACAAAAAAGATTGGTTATCAACTTTTTTTTTTAACTCGTTGTTGTCTTTCTTTACCAAGTGAAGTTAATTTCAAAGGAGTATGTGCATGGTTGAATATGATATGGATCTTCCAACATGTCCAATGATGTCAAATATTAAAATTTTAATAATCATAGGAAACTTCATTTCCAAATATTGACCAATCTTTTTACGACTCAAAATCCAAGAAATCCGTGTAAAAAATAGACATTCATGATCATGTTTTCATCTGGAAAGCAGCAAGATTTTCTTGGGTGGGTGTGTGTGTGTGTGGGGGGGGGTGTATGTATTTGTTTTCAAAAATATTTAAAATTATAATCCAATTTGGCAATAATTAGGAAAATGTGTCATAATTTTTCCTCAAATTTAATAAAATTCAGAAGTCAAGAACCTGGGATATAACTTAAAAAGTGTAAGCATCCAACATGTCAAATAATCCTTAAACTTGGCCAGACATCATCAAGTGAGAGAATTTCAAATCTATGCCTCAATATTTCTTCTTTTCATTTTGGATAGGGGGGTCAGGGTATTTTTCATTCTTACAAAACCTTTCAATCCCCAGTTATCTGTCTAAACAGCTTTTCATTCGATGATAAGAAAAGTATAGATAAGTATATGCAACACTTCTGAAGTACTTCAGTTTGACAAATCCCTGTAAACAGCGATTTTATCTAGGAAGTAATAAATCACCAAAGTTACATAATAGCATGCATTGACTAAAAATCTATAGCCAATATGAAAGTCAGGAACAGACATTTCCTCCATTTTCTGAAGTAGCAGCTAAGCACTTGGGACAAGGAATGTCCATTAATCCCTGTCAAAGTCTCCACAGAACAAGTCAGGCTTTCCATTCCTGTTCACATAAAATCCTTCTGCCATTGTTACCCAAATTAAATTAACAGGTAAACTAAGCTGTTGACAGTAGCAGAGTCTGGCTCTAAGGCACAAAGTACACTGTGTGTACATCCATGGTCTATGTGTAAATAATAGTGTATACTGCTGCGTGTATAAAACTCAAGGTCTACTGGAGTTCTACCTGTACACTAAGCATCATTTCAACTGTTTTATGCCTTTTCTCTCAAAGCATCACACAAAGGTGGGAGGAAACTATAACCTTAAATTTTATGGACAATAAAAGGTTCAGATTTAAACTTTTAAACCTGCCTTTCCAAAGAGCAAGTGTCTACTCATTTTTACATCAAAGTGTATTGCACACAATTCTGAATTAGTCACTGCAATGTAAAAAGTGGCACCCAGTTGATAATGCATGCCTGCCAAGTCAATTAGAGTTAAAATCAACATTAAAAAGGAACACTTTTTCAGTTCCTTGTAGATAATACACAAATGGGTTGTTTGTATAAATTATGCATCTTGCACTGAGAAACAAATATGTTCCTAAGCTAATATGCACAGTTCAACTGTCTACTGCAAGCTACTGTACTAATAGCACATGTTGACAGTGATATATAGAGCATGGCAAAGAAAACCCCCTTAACCACAATTATTTGTTTGCAGATCAAAGCTAGCAAGGAAAAACAAACAATGTTCATACCTACAGTCATCAATGTGTATATATACACAATGCTGGCATCAGCAATATAATCCCTTGTATATTTTTACAAATTGAAATATAGATGAAGCATTGCTATAAATATATTTATTTTACCCCTATATTAATTTAAATATAATATAAAATTTAAAATTCTTTCACCATATTCCAGAGAAGAGAAACTGCGATATAACTTTCATTTGCTTGACATTTACTTACATACATCGGTCATATATATATACAGGTATCATGACAGATTAAAACATCCAATGAATGTAACACCCTATGTAAGTCCTGGGTATTTAAATTTATTTGAATGTGCACTCTGAATAATTCCTTTGAGGTTTGGGGCTGCTAATATAAAGGAGGAGATAAGGTCTCTTGTCCAATCAAAGTATATGAAATAATCAAATTTTGCCTATATACCCAAACACATGCTATAATATAATACAAGCAATGGTATAACAGAAAAATTTACCTTGGCCATGATTTTTTTCATAAAATTAACTATATATAAATTTTTCTTAATTTCTAACCTCATTTAGTCTGATGACCTTGGATAATAAATGTTTCAATTTAACATCAAACATCAAAATATAAATATTTGTTTTGATGTCATTCTTCAACACAGCTGATAAAATCCATAATTTTTTTTTTATTTAACTATGCATAAAAAAATAACATTAAGCTAACTTAACTTAAATAGTCAAACACAATTGAAATATATCAAAATCATAAACTTATTTTTTAATCACACATTTTTCTTTGTAATCCATTAATCATATTCAAGTGTTTACAGTGGGTAGGTTACTAACTTTCCTGGAAAAAAAGTGCATTGACTAAGTGTTTCCAAGGCATAACATTAAATGTACTTTCCACTAAAAAAAATTAAGGCACACCAAGACAAAAAAAAATAAAATAGGGATGACATCACTTTAGAATTCCTGATATATATCTGACCACACCCCCTAATCCTTTTAGAACCATAAATAAAGCAGGTATGCCCCTCCCAAAAATACTATCCAACTAAAAAACAAGATCGAATCCCTTAAATCATAATATATCATAAATTTTCTATTATCAATGTCAAAACTAGTTAATGTCAAAGCGATCAGCACCTGGTGAAGTGAACCGTGACACAAAATGTCAAACATCTTCCTCCTAACTTTACCTACCTTGTAAACTTTCCCGAAAGCCCCGTCTCCGAGTTCTCCGATAATATCCCATTTATTGGTGGGATCTACATCTCTAGTAATGTTCTTGTACGCCGATTTCCTTCGAGCCGATTCTTCTCCTCCGAGTTTGAAGAATTTTCGGAAGCTGTTCAAGATTGACATACTGTTGTTGACACCTGTATTAGCACTCTGTCAGTCCCACAATGTTTACATGGAAATGTATAAAGTTTAAGAGCTAAACAAAATAGATGCATATTAAGGGGAATTACTGTCGTATAAAATCTGCATCCTGTCTGCTATAATTACGATAAACAGCACTTCTTTTTCCTTCGATTAGGAGACCTGTTCGATAGGAAAGTCGCCATGTTTTCATTTTTTTGAAGCATGCGCATAACGAATTCTCTCGGAAATACTTCCTGTTTCATTTTCCGTATTAAAGTTATTCCCCTTTGCAAAGAGTGTCATATGCTAAAATCATTTGAATAAAATTTTGGGATGGAGCCTGTGAAAAAATCATTTACTTTATTGATATATAATAAAATAACAAATTTTTAAATAGTAAATTATTGTTTCTTTTTCTAAAACGGTCATGTTTTTTTTGTTTTACTTTTACAATATTGTTACTTTTTGCACATTATCCTCGTTTCTTAGTGTCTTTAAAACATTTGGGTAAAAAAAAATCAGAAAATCATATTCTGTCGGTGTCTAGAGTAAAATTTATCTTTTGATAGGATTCAAAAACTTAAACTAACAAAAAACCAGCTAAGTTCTTAACCAGGCCCAAGAAAAAGGGCGAGAGCAGAGACATAAACTTAACATTTTATGTTATTTGTGTCTCTGGTTAGAGGGACGTACACAACCATACATGGATTTCTAGACAAGCAGGATAAAAAAAAACCCAGTTGTTCTTATTAAAGAGACTTTTCGTCTTGCTGCATATAGTATATCATAGAGCAAAAATTGTGGTGGTGGTGGTTGGGGGGTGGTTGGGCACGCCTCATGGTTCCAACACGACATGCATTATAGCTAATCGAATTTTAAAATCACTGCACTACACTGACTTATACATGTAGCATGGCCCTCTGGTCGAGTCACAAAGCTGTACATGTATCTTTTAATTTATCCCCCGCCTTCACGATTTTCAAGCGAGAGGACATTGAATCTCATTCGTCTGTTCGTCTGTAACAGAAAAATTTAACTTTGGTTATAACTTTTGCCGAATGAGGAAAGACAGAACTTTCATATTGCATTATCTGTGACAAGACCTTTTCAGATATATCATTTTTTGACCCCGTGACCTTGACCTTGAAGTTTGACCTATCTAAAAAAATTACATTACTTTAAATTGGTCGTAACCTTTGAAAGATAAAAGGTAGGACTTTCATATAACACAAGTGTATTATACTTGTGACAAGGACTTTCCAAATTTACAGTGATTTTTGATCCTGTGACTTTGACCTTGAATTTATTTGACACAATATGCCATACATAATGATATTTCTTCCACTAAGACACAAAAAGCGGGGAACCACAATTCTTTCAATTTGCTTGTAAGTATAGCTTTCATTGGAACCATCAAAACAATTGATCAGCCAATGAAATAAATCCCAGTTCCTTTTTTCGCCATCTTCTTTTTTCCGATCCCATACTCTACGAATCTTCTAGTGAGTTTAATATTTAGCGATGAGAGAGTATTGTATTCAAATTAAATCAAATTAAATTTTGAGAAAGGAGGTAGGATTGACTACCAAACTCAGAAATTTTCTGACAAGCAACGGAAAAAATACTAACTATACATTTAATTCTTGGTGTTTCTCTCATATCCTTTGCATATACTCTGTAAATGACTTTCTTTGCAAAAATATATGTCCATGCTTCCTAAGGGACCCAAGGTCAATTAAAAAACCTATCTTGCAAAAAATACTATATACAAAACTTTTTGTTCAAAATTTCGCACAAATGGTAATAACACCAAGTCGTGTAATCACCCAGTTTGCCAAATATCAAATCTGTAAGAATTTACAAATCAAACAAAATAAACAACAAAACATATGTACAAAATTATAAGATTTAATAATTAACTCTGAAAAAATATCACAGATAAGCCTTTGGCACATAAAACAATAAAAAGTTCTATTCATCAATTCCTGTGGAAAAATTTTCGGATTCTCTGAAACAGTCCCCGTTTCTCTGTACCCTTGCTCTTTCCTTTTTTCTGAAAAATTTTATTAACCAATTAATTTAAAAGGTAATTTTCGTTTAAAGATAGGTCATTCCAATACAAAAAAAGATTTATATTTTGGATTTTCAAGAACTTGTACTCACTGTGCAACTACATGCTCCACAGAGGAACAGCCGCATCAGAGGGTGTTTGGTAAAATACTCGTTTTCTGCGTCAGTTTCCTGATTCTTTGATTCCTGGATGTCGGGCCCAGCTATCTGTAACAAAGAATAACAAATTCTTAAATAACAAAATCACGATGTCAATGATATATCTTGGAAATAAATCCGTTTTTCTTGCTTTGCAAAACTTATAGGATAAGTATTTTTTTAATTGAGAAGACGAAGGAAAATCAAAACCTAATACACCTGTACAATTTTAAAAAAAATTTACAACACTTTCTTTTGTTTTCTGTCGAGATTTTTTTTTACATCAATGTATTTATAGCATTATTCAAAACATAGTGTTATTTAATTTAGTAAAAAAAAAAAAAAAAAAAAAAAAAAAAAAAAAAAAAACAATATATTTTTGAAAAAAAAAAAATAATTTCTTACCTCTGTTGACAAAATAGATATCTCTGTGTCAATGATTTCCAGTCCACGGATTTTCCTGTAGCAGAAATCAAATGTGTTCATATTAAATTTACGAGTTTCAGCTATTTAATAATATGAAGGGAAAATATGCCATTTCGTTAATTTTTGTCACTTTAAATTATATCCTTACTTTGTTCGATTTTCGATGCTGCTTGTAGTTGTTCCACTAATGATGTTGCATGCAACCGTTTTGCTACCATCAGTGCTGCATGAAGCAGTTTCCCCATCCGTCGTGGTGGTTTTAAGGTCTACGGTCTGTAAAATGAAACAGCAAAGTCAATAAATATATTTCATCCAGTTAAATCATTTCATGCATTGTACCAAAGAATCAAAAATAGTATAATCTAACCTTTGACACTTTCAGTACTGTGGAACCAAATTCTGCCCTGTTTAGCGGTCCATTCTGTTCAAGTTGAGGGTACTGCGCATGGATCTCTCCAACTACAATTCCAGTTTTAGCATCATAGATGTGTACCAGTCTCTTCATGCACTGTATCACAGAATTGTCAATTCGGGACGCCATTTTTGCACGGGACGCATCACTGTTAGCTTCTGCAGCATCTTGTTTGTCTTTTCCTCCCAGTTGCAATGGGTGAGAATCTTTTTGTTCTGGAAAGACGTTGGCGTCTGATGTGTCCTTATAGACATTGGCTTCATTTGAGTCACACAGGCCTTTGCTTTCTTCCACCAATGGAAATGCAGATAGCTTATAAAAAGTTATAAAAGCAATATAAGCATACTTTGATCATAACTTTTACGAAAAACTAATATAATTTTACCACAACTGTTTCTTGTGTAATGTATTTGTATTTTATCTACCTTAGTTTTGTCCAGTTCTGTTGTAGAAGATCCACCTGCTTCAGCAGTAGTGGTCATGAAGTTTGTCTGGTCTAGATACTCCTGAGGCCTAGGTATATCTCTGTTATTCTAAAATTTATGAATCATATTGTTATGATTTTTTTAAGCATGAAAGAAATTGAGAGACATTGAATTTTAAAATATTCTAGTATTTACATGATAGTAATATCATTTGTAACTTTTTTGCAAAAAAAAAAAAAAAAAAAAAAAAAAAAAAAAAAACTGTAACGAATTGTAAAATTGTGTGTACAAATTATAGACTATAAATATCAAATACAATACATGTATATAATTTTTTGTAAAATTGTGTGTACAAATTATAGACTATAAATATCAAATACAATACATGTATATAATTTTTTGAATGATGATGTAAAAATAAAATACCTTTGATTTCTCTTCCTGTTCTACCATATCTGCCCAGTTGTATCCGAATGATAATATTGCCAATTTGGCTTCCTGGAAATATAAGGTAAAATTCTTAAGACAATGGCTAGTATAGTGTGTGGAACCAAAATTACTAGCAACGAAATCGAAACTTAATTAATCACATAAAGTCAAAACACTTACCACAGTGGTCACGGGTTCCGCTCCGAAATCCAAAATCTCGTTCTAAAAAAATGAAGATTTGGAATGGAAACTACAATCACTAAATAAAACTTTTTTTAACAAAGTATGTTTATTATATTTCAAAAGCATTTTTGTTACACATATTTATGAATTAATTGAATCATTCCGATGTTGTTTTTTTTTGTTCCCTGATATTGTAGACAATAGAGACATCTTGAACATTTTCAAAAATAGAACATTTTCAACATCGTTGTAGAAATGGTACAGTGTGATTTGAAATACGTTAATTTGAGTGATAAACTCATTTATTATGTGTAGAATATAGAATAATTATTAAAGATTAGCTGAATTAATTGACTAGAGAAAAAGATTTTTAAAATATTTTTTAGCCAAATAAATTGTTTGTAAATTGTCTTATAAATTGTAAATCCCATGCACAAAATATTAACAATCATTATGAATTATGTTTGATTTGTAAATAAATGATGTAAAAATAGTTAAAATACCTCTAACTTTTCTTCTAGTTCAACCATTTCAGCCCAGCTGTAGGAAAATGCAAGAATGGCCAATTTGGCTTCCTGAAAATTTAACGTAAAATTTATAATTATGATATTGGCTAGTATGGTGTGTGGAATCAAATTTAACGAAATTGAAATTAAACTAAGTTAATATTAGTAGACTTACCACACTGGTCAATGGTTCTTCACCGAAATCCAAAATCTCGTTCTAAAAAAAAATGACATGAGTAGAAACTGGTTGGAACAACTACATAAAAACTTTTTATTTAAAAAAGTAGGTTTGCTATATTTCAAAAGCAAATTGAATACTAGTACATGTATTTGTGTATTAAGTCATTTTGATGTATTAATTATTTTTGTTCACTGATATTGTAGGCATTAGAGAGTTTTTTTTTAAATATAGCAACATTTTCGACATCATTGTAGAAAGTGTACAGAACAGAATTCGAAGTTTTGAAATACATGAATATGAGTGAAAAATCGTTTGTGGTTTGTAGAATGTAAATATTAAAAACAGTTGAATTCGTAAGAATTTTTTTTTTTTTGGATAATCCAATGCACATCTTATGAAATTTTAACACGAAATGCAACTTATATATTATAACAAATTCCCGATTCTCCCCCCAAAATTTCAAAAAGTTACATCTTATATATATATCCTTTAAAATTATTAGTGGTCTTTACTAATGCCATTACCATGGACAGAAAAAAATATTTGCTATAACTACTGCTGTATGCACATAAGTTTCTGGACTTTACTTAATTCAAAGCTGATACTCACCTGATTTGTGGTATTCATCGTTTTTCTAAGCACAGCGAATTGATGAGACGTCAACACTAATCCGACATTCGTTGCCATTGAAGTAAAGTTAACTGACGTCATAATTACTATTGTGACGTTGCAATTGTCGTGACGATTGTCTTGTAAGTTGAATCGCATTTGGTCAAGGTTTTGTCAAATTTGCATGAATTTCTTTCACTGACTCCTGTCCGATAGTTTAGAATTCAATATATTTATCTTTGGAATCTGTATTTGATTTTTTCTTTCTTACAGTACAGTAGAAAAATATTTACAATTTCTTTTGGTCCAAACACACGAGAAGAGCCTTTCCTAAAACAGAATTAAACGTAATTTTTTGGCCTTTTTTCATTCCTACGTTATGTCAGTAAATTCTGTCTATTTTTACCGATAAACTTTGTCAAATTAGGGGCATTTTAATCCTAACATCAGTGATGTAAAGAAAAGAAATTATATGATTTTTAAAAACAAGATTGGGGTATAAAAAACAAGAGGCCCAGGGACCACATCGCTCACCGGAGCAACAACTGGTTAGGTAATATCAAAAGTCAGTTCAGTATTGAAAAGTTTAAATACAAAAAAATATGAAAATTAATGGGTTCAGGGGAGGGGGTGTATTTGAACAAACTTAAATCTATACTTCTTAAGGATGCTTTTGAATTAAAATATGACTTATAATGGCTTTGTTCTTTATAAGATGAAAATTATTATTGATAAGGCCTCTATATTCTTTTGTAATGATCCACTCTAATGGCTTCTCTATTCTCCCAATTGTCACAATGTGAACAAGTTTAAATTTGCATTAACTTTTTTATGCTTTTATGTTGATGATCAATAATAGCTTTGTTGTTTTTGTGAAGAATTTCAACTATTTTTCCATGTATTCCTACGTAAAACCTTATTCACCCATTGTGGTCCCACTCTTTCCCCCAGGAGATCATGATTTGAACAAACTTGAATCTACACAACCTGAGGATGCTTCCTTATAAAAATGACCAATCATGTTCTTGAGAAGAAGAATTTTGAATATTTTCCCTATGCAATTCTACTTTGATCTTCCATTATGGCCCCACCCTTGCCCTGGGGTCATGATTTGACCAAACTTGAATCTACACTACCAGAGGATGCTTCAATATAACTATGATCAACCATGGCTTTGCTGTTCCTGAGAAGATTTTTTACGATTTTCCCTATGTAAAATTTTGATCCCCAATATGCCCCATCCTACCCCCGGGGGTTATGATTTGAACAAACATAAATCTACGTTAACAGAGGATGCTTCAATATGATTATGACCAATATTGGGTTTGCTGTTCTTGAGAAAAAGATTTTTCTCATGTATTCCTATGCTAAACTTTGATTCCCCATTGTGGCCCCACCCTACCCCGGGGCTCATGCCTTGAACAAACAAAATCTACACTACATGAGAATGCTTCCACATGAATTTCATCTTTCCAGGCCCAGTGGTTCTTGAGAAGAAGATTTTTAAATATTTTCCTATGTATTCCTATGTTTAACTTCGATAACATTGTGGCCCAACCCTACTCCCAGGGTAGACAAATTTTGACCAAAAAAGCTCAATTGAGCCTTCGGCTCAGGTGAGCTAAAAAGTAGTGATCTACTGAAGAACTTTTCATTTTCGTTGTTTAATATATTTTAAATGAAACTATTCAATCAATTAAGTAGTAGATGCTCTCAATGCATTGCGATATATATGGATGACTTGCTCGCATTATATTGTTTCGGGTAGTTGCGGGAAGGTCAAGTTACAATTTGTCGCTTGAACGGAAAGGCTACCTGAGGGAATTCCCTCAGGATCGAGAAGAGGTCGAGATAAATTGTTGATTTTAAAGATGATTATTTTCTGCTGTACCTCTAATTTTCTTCATGTTCTGAATGAGTGTAGAGAGTTAGTTCAGTGAACATGAGATACATAAGAAATACAGATGCGAGACTGTTTGTCAATATAGAAGAACCCAAAACCCAGCCGTGTGATTGGTCAACATCAAAATTAAACACGCGTACTCTGGCATCGTTAAACGGCTCCTAGAATTCCATATTGATATCATTTATTTAATCTTCATGCACTATTTCCTAATCTATCGAATGGTTGGAATTACAATGGGCACTAATCATGCTCCTGTATTAGCTGACCTGTTTTTATATTTCCTTGACGCAGAATTTATTCAAGAATTTCTATGTCATTATGAGCAATAAACACTTGCTTTGGCACTGTACACAACATGTAGATACATCGATGATGTACATGTACACTCTGTATTATCAATTAATAATACACTGTAGTTACTTTCATTCAAATGTTGATTCGATATATTCAAGTTAACTCCTTGAATTAAAAGACACAGCGGAGTCTGCCACATCTGTTTTTGATGTTTGGATGTTTTACCGAATATAGTCGATAAGGATAAATTAACACCTAAATTATATGACAAACGAGGTGACTTTAACATTTTCATGATAGTATTTCTTTATTTTTGTTGTAATATCCCGCTATCACCTGCATTTGGTGTTTATACTTCTCCCAAACTACTGTATTCGATTCTTGAGAGCATGTTCTGAGTACAATCAGTTTTTAAACCAAGGCAGGTTACTGACAATTAAGTGGATGTTACAAGGATTTCGTCTAGCTCGTTTGAAGTCGGTATTTCTTTTTAACGACTTTTTGAGCAAATATATGCCACTTATTTGAATTCTGTACATATGGTAATAAAATAAAAGTGGTGTAATCATTCCATGTGCCTTACACTATAGTCAGTTGAACAAAAAAGTAAACACAATTTTGAAGGTAAAAATAAATTAAAATTTAATTCAATCTAAAAATATCACAGATTAGCTTCTTAATTTCAGGAACATGAAACATTCATTTAATTTCTTTGGAATATCTTTCGAATTCTTCTGAACAGCCCAACTTTCTCAATGGTCTTCGGTTTTCCTTTTTTCTGAAGAAAAAAGACAAAATATTTTAAATGCAATATTTTCGTTTACTGACAAGTCATTCTAACTCAAATTGTTAAAATTAAATATAAGTATTTGGGAACTTGTACTCACTGAACAACAAGCTCCACAGAGAAACAGCCGCATCAGAGGGTGTTTGGTAAAATACTCGTTTTCTGCGTCAGTTTCCTGATTCTTTGATTCCTGGATGTCAGACGTATTCATCTGTTACAAAAAATAGAAACCGTATGAAAATCTTGTTTAATAAAATACTGCTCGTCTTTTTAAAAGACATATATGTTGCTTTCGTTGGTTTGTTTGTTTTCTTCAATTTTTTTTCCTGGGGGGGGGGGGTTAAAAATAAATAAACCCTACCCCCTGAAACAAAAATCTGCATTTATGTTGTGTTGGATCTCTCCAAGATTAAGAACATTTTTCATATCGATGGGTAACTGAAATTATTCTGAGGGAAAAACTTATTTCTTACCACTGTTGACAGAATAGATATTTCTTGGTCAATGATTTCCAGTCCACGGATTTTCCTGTAATAGAAATCGAATGTTTTCATTTCAAATTTACGATTGCAAGCTATTGAATTACATGAAGCGAAATATTGTACGTTTACATAACATCCTTACCTTGTTCGATTATCGCTGCTGCTTGTCGCTGCTGTATCGCTTTTGGTGCTGCATGTGGCTGTTGTGCCGCTATTGGTGCTGCATGTCACTGTTGTACCGCTATTGGTGCTGCATGTCACTGTTGTACCGCTATTGGTGCTGCATGTCACTGTTGTGCCGCTATTGGTGCTGCATGTCGCTGTTGTGCCGCTATTGGTGCTGCATCTAGCAGGAGTACCATCCAACAGGGTGGTTTGAGGATATGAGCTCTGTAATTAAACACAGTAAAGTTTATACATTTATGTATATTTCATCCAGTTAAATTTAAATTTTTACACATCTACCAAAGATAAAAAAAACAACACTATCTAACCTGTAACTCTTTGGATACTGTAGCGCCATGTTCTGTCCTCCTTTGCTGTCTATCCCGTTCGTTTGATTCTCGGTACTGCGCAGGAATTTCACCAGCTACAACTCCAGTTTTAGCATCAAAGATGTGTACTGGTCTCTTCATGTCCTGTATCACAGAATTGTCCATTCGGAACGCTTCGTACGTATTCTCAGCGCACTCATTACTGTTGGCTTCTGCAGTAGGTTGGTTGTCGTTTTTTCCCAGTTGCAATGGGTGAGAATTACACAGGCCTTTGCTTTTCTCCACCGAAGGAAATGCAGGTATCTATTAAAAAGTTAAAAATGCAATAAGCATACTTTGATTATAACTTTTATGAAAGAATAATATAATTTTACTTTTTTTCTAGAGCATTGTATTCATTTGCATATTTTCTACCTTTGAATTGGCAAATACTGCTGTAGATAAGCTTGCTGCTGCAACAGTTGACATGACGTTTGTCTGTTTTAGATGCTCCTGAGGCCCAGGGATATCTCCATTACCCTGAAACGAATTGATATCTCGTTTGTAACTTACACATTTTTAGCAACCTGTGAAATAAATTTCAAAATGCTTATAAAAAATACCAGTTTATGCAATAATTATTAAATATATTATTATAATTTGTTGATTGATGATGTAAAAATACCTTTAACTTTTCTTCCTTCTCAACCATTTCTCCCCAGTTGTAGGAGAATGCTAATATCGCTAATTTGTCTTCCTGAAAATTTAATGTAAAATTTAAATATTTGTTAGTATAGTGTGTGGAATGAAAATTAACGAAATCGACATTTAATTATACGAAGTTTAGTTCACTTACCACACTGGTGACGGGGTCCTCTCCGAAATCCAAGATCTCGGTCTAAAAAAAATGGAAGACAAGGATTAAATTAAATTGGGACTATTCCATAAAAACATTTTTTATAAACAAAGAAGGAGTTTTATATTTCAAAAGCACTTTGAATAAATGTATGTGTGAATTGAATCATTTTGCTGTATTAATATTTTTGTTTGCTGATATTGTATTCAATATAGATATTTTTGACATCGTTGTAGAAATTTGTACAGAATGATTTGAAAAACATGAATATGTGTGATAAACTTGGTTACTGTGCCTAGAATAAAATTGTTATCGGTAAAGAGTTGATGAATTTACTCGTGAAAAAAACATTCTTTATAAAATATTGTTTTAGCAAAGAAATTGTGTTATAATTGTCAATATAATTTGTTGATTGATGATGTAAAAAATACCTGTAACTTTTCTTCTCGCTCAACCATTTCAGCCCATTTGTAAGAGAATGCTAGAATGGCCAATTTGGCTTCCTGAAAATTTAAGGTCAAATTTATTTAGCCAGTATAGCGTGTGGAATCAAAATTAATTAAACTGAAATTTAAGCATATGTACACCTACCACACTGGCCATGGGTTCTTCTCCGAAATCCAAAAGCTCAATCTAAAAAAAAATTGAAAACACAGTTTAGAAACTAGTTGGAAACACTACATAGAGCATAGAGTATTTTTTAACAAAGAAGGTTTATTATATTTCAATTTGAATTTGTATTTGTATTTGTGAATTGAATATGACATTCCGATTTTTTTTTTTTTTGGTTCCCTGATATTGTAGGCAATAGAGAAATATGAAATATAAACAAGAACTTAGAAATACAACTTAAATATAACATCAGCATGTTCCCGATTCTCCAAAACTTCCCTAAAAAATTTACATTTATTTCGTCAATAAATTCTTAGTGGGTTTCACTATAATGTCATTATCAGAATTTTTTATTTATAAAAAAATAAATGGGGAGAAATGCTATTGGTATACATGTACTATGCATTACGCACTTAAGTTCCAGGACTTACTTTTTCAAAGTTGTTACTCACCTGATTTGTGGTATTCATCGTTCTTCTAAGCACAGCGATTTTCATTTGATGAGACGTCAACACTAATCCGACATTCGTTGCCAATAAACTAAAGTTAACTGACGTCATAATTACTATTGTGACGTTGCAATTGTCGTGACGTTGACAATCTCCCATGCAGAGTTGTCGTTCGTTCCTCTCTCAGATGGTAGATAGTGCTAAGTTGAATCGCATTTTCGTCAAGGTTCTGTCAAACTTTCATGAATTTAACTCACTCCGATACATAGAACTAAATATATTTTCTTTAGAATCTACATTTGGTTTCTTTCTTATAATACAGTAGAAAAATCTTTACATTTTCCCTTTTTTGTCAAAACACTCAAAAATAGTCTAGAACAGATTAAACGTAAATTTAGATTTTTTGCCTTTTTCATTCCAATTTTATGCTTGTGTATTCTGGCTATTTTCTCCGATTTGGATATAGCATAAATTTGGTTAAACGTGCATTTTAACCTAATTTTTGATATAGATCCTAGCTGCAGGTCTGTAGCCCACTTGTTTGAAAAACTGGGGTGGACGATCAGAGAGCTACAGGCCAACCATAGAAAAAAACTATATTTATTGCGCACAAAATGTTGCACTCGGTTCTGGATTAATTACTCCAAATTCTAATCTCAATCAGCTAACAAAAGTTTGATTAAAAAAAACTTATACCTCTATCAACGAGTTTTGTAAGTTTTTTCAGGTAGGGGGGTCCACCTCAATAAAAAATCCAGACCTGAAATTTCTTGACATTTCTTGACAAGCAAATAAAAAAAACAATTAAAAAACAATAAAAAGAAAATACGGAAACTCAGAACCTGAAAAACCCATTTCGTGGAGAGGGTGGGGATTGACTTCTAAAACTTCATAGCATTGAATTTTTTTTTCCAACTTCACATAGATCTGTGTTTTCGAGGAGGGGTCAGCGTTTTCTAGGAGGATCCAAGATCACCTTTACTTGGTTTAGTATATACATTTTATAACTCTGCAAATTCCGGGGGGGGGGGATTCCGGGTCCACAGCCCCCTCTAAATCCGCGCATGCGAAGTGCATTGGACTGCATTAACTTGTTACCCAAATTAGCAGTCTAATAAGTTGGCAAAAATTACGATGGTCTTAATTTCAAGCCCAGGAGGGCTTTTAACAACTGTTTTAAGGAATGTTTTGTTGTTGAAATAGTTAAAGGAAATATTAAAAACACAGAAATCTTGAAAAGGGGTGCGGCCCTCTAAATCCGCCATTGGAAATAAATCAAGAAAAACGGGGTTTTTTGTGTGCAAGAACACTTTTTGCAATGTGTGGCACTGTAGCTCTCTGGTCTGTCAATTTTTTTTTTTTCGAAGAGCTACAGTTCTGCAGCTCTGATATCTCTGTTTTAAGAATGGTGAACGGCAGCTAATGTCAGCAACTTTGGATGGAACGTTGTTATAAACCACAAGATGGGTTTAGGAAGGTTGACATTTGGGACACCATTTTGTTTGCATGTTGTTTAACGTCCCTCTCGATAATTTTTCACTCATATGGAGACGCCACCACTTGTCGGTGAAGAGCTGCAAATTTTATCCTATTCTCGGCACTTGCGACCATTGAGCAGTGAGGGATCTTTTTCGTGCTAGCGCCTACTGCTACACGGAACCTTAGTTTATACGGTCTCATCCAACCGGTCTCCATGTCCCACAGTGGGATTCGAACCCGCGACTTAAGGATCAACTCCTTGCTTCGCGACTCATAGTATACGCTATAACCACTGCACCACGCGGGCGACGATGTAACGTGTAAAGAAAAATAACTAGTTTTCTAGTGTCCCCCGCTGAAATTGGGGGATATTGGTTTGGGTCTGTCTGTCCGTCCGTCTGTCTGTAGCACTTTCGTTTCCACGCGATATCCCGAGAAGCCTTTGAGGTTTTGAAGTGAAAACTTTCACTGATCAATGGTCATTTGCAAATTTATTTTGTTAGAAAATATTTTGATTGTACACACAAGCACATGTACTCTGAAGTTGACATGCATCAAAAAGATGCGTGAGTTTCTGATTTACATTATCTATGTTGTTTTTGGAGACCAGGTCTTCCAACAATGTACTGATATTTGAATTCCCATGGGTACCAATTGCGCCGCGTTATTAGCAGATCTATACATCTTGTTCATACTAATAGTTAGGCCATTATTAACACACTGAATTGTCGACAGATTTTCCCGTTATTTCCCTGTCATGACAAGGAGCACACCGCTGGCGTGACCGGTCGGCAGGGAATGCTCACTTCGTGGCACCTGATCCTACCACTGATGCTTTTGAGGTCAGTGTTTGCTCTGCTCCTATTTTGTATTGTTTAATGGACTTTTGAGTTTGAATACGTTTCCTTATCTCTATATATTTACACAACAACTCCCTATGACCCAGGAGAGACCCCTATTGATTTTGAGGTCAAAGTTCAAGGTCATTAATCTAAAAATTCTGCCTGTTTTAATACTTTCGTGTCTCGACAAGCTTTTGAGCTTTTGCAATTTTATACCAAAAGTCCATGTGGCCTATAAGGAAGACTGCTATTGATTTTGAGGTCAAAAGATCAAAGATCAAGGTAGTTTATTTATATTTTTTTGTTTGTGTGTAAAATTGTCATTTCCTGCAGACGATATCTCAAGAAGCTTTTAAGTTTCTTTAAGTAATACATGTATCTAACCAAAAGTTGCGAATGCCAAGATCAGATAGATCCTAGCGTACAACTTTAAAGAAAAGGCAAAGAACAAGATTAGCTAAGATCACTTTCTGGCCCTTAATTTTGGATATCTTTCAGAATAATGCTACAGTTTATCCATAAAAACCTGTTGTCATCCCTGCCACAAAATGAGTACTTGTTCTACGTTTTGGAATACTAGAACAGAGAGGTAAGAAAGTTTTTATGCAAATTTTCATCAATTTTAAAGAACAATTTTGTTTCGGAAAACATAGAGCACAAGCTTGCCTATCTACCAGATTTATATATTTTATACACTAGTATCAGATGCATTATACTGTATACATGTATGTGTAAAAATCTCAAATAAGCAAGCTTGTGCTCTATGTTTTCCGAAGAGAAATGTATCTCAAATACTACTATATACGATAAATAAAATTCCACCAGAAGTGAGAAAATCAGGAAAATGTTCTACTTCTGCGCCCTCTAGTGGCTTCCATGTGAACTTTGAATCCAAATTAGTACTTGTTTTTAAGCAAGCATCATTTCAAGTTCTCAACTACAAACTATCACAATTTTACCAGTGTTCTGATTTCTACATCAAATAAGGAGCCAGATTAGGCCGCTACCCTATCATGTCTTTCTTGTAGAAAGAAGCATGCAACTGTTTGCGTTATATAAATTGTAACTATCATGAATTACATTCATGAATACAAGTAAGAATTAAAACAGGAAAAGGAAGAATGGAGTAACTTGTTAACGAAAATCAATGATTGTCTCTGTTCATTTGGTGTTTATACTTCTCCTAAACTATTCGATTCTTGAGAGCATGTTCTGAGTACAATCAGTTTTTAAACCAAGGCAGGCAACTGACAAGTGGATGTTACAGGGAATTCATTAAGCTCAGAAATTCTTTATAATGACCTTGTTTCCAATTATATGTTTTTTTAATTCTGTACACGTTTTAGGCATGCTTAGAAGGTACCTATCTGATTGTGTGCTAATATTGTGATTTTTGATATTCAAAGTGTGTCCATTATAATTAGATATAGGTATACCTATATTTGCTATCTATACTTGTACAAGTGGTTCCAAACTTTAATACTTTAAGCATATTTGTTGCACCTATTTTTACCCAAGATAGGCATGCCTAATCTGTACTTTATTATACCCCCGCTTGAAAAGTGGGAGAGTATATAGTAATGGGTATGTCCGTCCGTCCGTCTGTCTGTTACTTACGCTTTAGGGTACCAATCTCTTATCCGCAACTCCTCTCATACCACTGAATGAAATTTGATGAAACTTTCACAGAATCTTTATTACATATTGCCATTGTGCACCTCCTATTTTACTTTTTGATCCGACACATTTATTGTGTTTATCGTAGCAAAACATGAACACTGCCATTTTATACCTATGGGAGGCGGGGGGGGGGGGGGGTCATTTAGTGAGCTCATTGCTCACAGTACCTCTAGTTTTGGAATGGGTTTGGTAATAAAAAAGTGGTGTATTATTCCATATGCCTTACATATAGTCAGTTAATTAAAACAAAAAGTAAATACGATTTTAAAGGTAAAAATAAATTAGATTTAATTAACTTTAACAATATCACAGATTAGCTTCTTAATTTCAGGAACATGTATGTAACAGTCATTTAATTTCTGTGGAATATCTTTCGAATTCTTCTGAACAGTCCAACTTTCTCAGTGGTCTTCGTTTTTCTTTTTTTCTGAAAAAAATATGAATAAGATATTTTAATTTTCGTTTATATTAGTTAACTGATAAGTCATTCTAACACAATTTGTTTAAATTAAAGTGAAGTATATGGGAATTTGTACTCACTGAACAACAAGCTCCACAGAGAAACAGCCGCATCAGAGGGTGTTTGGTAAAATACTCGTTTTCTGCGTCATCTTCTGACTTTGAATCCTGGATGTCGGGCGCAATCAACTGTTACAGAGAAACAGAAATCTTACTAGGGATTTTGTTTTAAAATGAACAAACCCATAAACACAATATCATCCATACCCCACCCCTTCTCAATAAAATTCAGCATTTTTGCTGTGTTTGATCTTTCCAAGATTAAATACATTTTTATATCGATGAGTAATTGACATTTTTCTGACAAAAAAAGAACTCTTATTTTTTACCTCCGGCTCTGTTGACAGAAAAGATATTTCTGTGTCAATGATTTCCATTCCACGGATTTTCCTGTACCAGTAAAGAATAATGTGTTCATTTCAAATTTACAATTGCAAGCTACTTAATTACTAGTATTTGAATTGGAAATATTGCAAACGTTTAGTAAAATAAAATAACATCCTTACCTTGCTCGATTATCGGTGCTACATGTGGCTGTTGTACCGCTATCGGTGCTACATGTCACTGTTGTACCGCTATTGGTGCTGCATGTCGCTGTTGCACTGCTATTGGTGCTGCATCTAGCAGGAGTACCATCCAACAGGGTGGTTTGAAGATATGAGCTCTGTAATTAAACACAGTAAAGTTAATACATTTATGTATATTTCATCCAGTTAAATTTAAATATTTACACATCTTCTACCAAAGAAAAAAACAACATTATCTAACCTGTAACTCTTTGGATACTGTAGCACTACAGTCTGTCCTCCTTGCCTGTCTATCCCGTTGGCCAAATTCTCGAGGAATGTACTGCGCATGAATCTCTCCAGAACCAATTCCAGTTTTAGCATCATAGATGTGTACCAGTCTCTTCATGTCCTGTATCACAGAACTGTCAATTCGGTAAACGGCCTCCTCCATTTTATTCGGGGACGCATTGCTGGTAGCTTCTTTTTGTTCTGGACAGAAGCTGATCTCTGCTGTGTCCTTGTAGAAATTGGCTTCATTTAAGTCACACAGGCCTTTGCTTTCTTCCACCAATGGAAATGCAGGTATCTTTTAAAAAGTTTTTTAAAAAAGCAATAAGCATAATATGGCGATAACTTTTATGAAAAACTAATATGATTTTACTATGATTGTTTCTAATGTAAAATATATACTACAACTGTATATAGTACATGTATTTGCATTTTTCTACCTTAGAATTGGTCAGTTCCGCTGTAGAAGATTTGTTTGTATCTTGTATATTTTTTAGCAAAGAAACTTTGTAATAAATTGTTATGTGCGTGCACAAACATTTACAATAAAAAATATGTATAATTTGTTGACTAATGATATAATAATACCTTTAATTTTTCTTCTTGCTCTACCATGTCGGCCCAATTATAGGCGAACGCTAATATTTCCAATTTGTCTTCCTAAAAAAATTAACATAAAATTTATATAATATAGGCAGGTATATCGATGAATCAAAATTAATGAAGTTGACATTAATACGAAGTTAAGGACACCTACCACACTGGTCACAGGGTTTTCTCCGAAATCCAAGATCTCGTTCTAAAGAAGTGAAGACACGGATTAAAAAACTAGTTTGGACTATTCCATAATTTAAAAAAAAAAAATAAATAGAGTAGGTTGGCAGTAGAAACATCTTAAACATTTTTGACAACGTTGTAGAAATTATACAGAATGATTTGGAATACATGAATATAAGTGATAAACTAGTTTATTGTGTGTAGTATGTAGACATTAAAGAGTGTTGACTTTATTTACGTGAAAAAAATTTTTGTAAAGAAAATATTTTTTCATCCAAGAATTTGTGTTATAAATGGTAAATATTATATATGTAATTTGTTGACTGATGATGTACAAATACCTTGAACTTCTCTTCTTGCTCAACTATTTCTGCCCAGCTGTATGGGAATGATAAAATTGCCAATTTGGCATCCTGAAATTTCAACGTAAAATTTATTTGATATTAGCAAGTATAGTGTGTGGAATCAAAATTAACGAAATTGAAACTAAATCATGTAAATTAAGTTAAGTAAGATAAGTACACCTACCACACTGGTCACTGGGTCTTCTCCGAAATCCAAGGTCTCGCTCTAAAAAAACAAAGACTGATTAGGTGCTAGTTGAACCACTACATAATTTTTATTTTAACAAATAAGTAGGTTTATCATATTTCAAAATCCCTTTGAATGCCGTACATTTATTTATGAATTGAATCATTCCGATGTATCCCCCCTCCGATATTGTAGTCAATAGAGACTATGAAATATTAAAAAGAAATACAACATAGATATAACATCAATAAATTCGTTTCCCTTTTCTCCAACACTTCCTCAAAAATTTACTTTGCATATTTCGTTAATAATTGTTAATGGACTTTACAGCAATGGCATTACCAGAATAATTTTTTTTTCGAAAATAAATGGTAAGAAATGCACTTGATATACCATAACTCATGCATTATGCACGAACGTCCCTTAACTAACTTTGTTCGAAGTTTTTACTCACCTGATTTTGGGTATTCATCGTTCTTCTAAGCACAGCGATTTTCCTTCAAAGATATGTCAACACTAATCCGACATTCGTTGCCAATACACTAAAGTTTAATGACGTCATAATTACTATTGTGACGTTTCAATTGTCGTGACAAACGTCTTCAATCGGAACATCACTCGGCCTTTTCCGTCAAGTCGAGTGGTGTTCCGATTGGAATGTCTTGTAAGTTGAATCGCATTTTCGTCAAAGTATTTGTATTTGGTTTCTTTCTTATAATGCAGTGAAGAAAACACTGTATTTTTTTAATACAGTATTCACGATCAAAAATACATAAAACAATACAAAATAGGAGCAGAGCAAACACGGACATCCAAAACATAAGATAGATCGGTTTTTGATTTCGATGAACGGTGTTGCCATGGTAGGAATGATAGAATTTTCTGTGAAATTCCTTTCACACCCGCCATTGCGTATTGTCATGATCAGGAAATAACGGAAAAGTGCACACAATAATGGACTAACAATTAGATAATAAAAAGTGCATCGGTTTTTGATTCAATGATAATGTATTGCTGATACCGTAAAACATAGAGCTTTTCTCTTTCCTATATTAATGCTAGTGCTTTCTACAGTTATTTTCTCTGATTTCATGTATAACTTGGCACACAACTACTAGTAATATCAGCAGCATTTGAGATGGATCTTCAATTTCTTTCGATTGTCTTTCTGACATATTTTCTATTTAACTATAAAATATGCTAAAACCGTGCATGCAAAACATGGACTTTGCCATTATAATATATAAAAGTGGTGCATCGGTTTTTGATTTTGATGCTTATTACTCACAGTACTTCTAGTTTTTTAGTGAGCTAATTGCTTACAGTACTTCTAGTTTTTTAAGTCTCTGTTCATTTTTACAGAATCACAGCCATTATATTTGTCTTTTTGCCGATAAAGTACATAATTATATAGTTATTTAGAACAATGAAAATTTAATTTTCTAGTAAGTCTTTATAGAACCTTGACTACAGTACCCTGCAATTTCGTTTTGATAGGTTTTGTGGTTGTCAGTGTAGAGCAAATTCTACGTCCTTGTTGCGCTGACATGGTAAAAGGGTTTTCTCTTTGTTTGTTGTTTAACGTCATTCCAGAGAATTTTTCACTCATATGGAGACGCCACCACTTGCCGTTTGAGAGCTACAGATTTTGTCCTATACTCGGCACTTAGGGCAATTGAGCGGGGGGATCTTGTTTCGTGCCAGCACCTACTGCGACATGGTTCCTCAATTTATACTGTCTCATCCGACTGACCGATCTCCAAGTTCCACAGTGTGATTCGAACCCGCGACGTAAGTACCACTTCCTTTGAAACTCTATAGAGCAGACGCTCTAACCACTGCGCCACACAGACGTTATGTTGAAAGTAAGTCAGAAAAGATGTAAAATACCGGATATATCAAATGATCATTGGAAAATTATTCCACTAACTGCAAGATATTTTATTAAAAATGAGTGTTTCCGAGATTGACCTGTGTAAATTCGGGCCGATGAAGTTCATAATTATATAGTTATTTAGAACAATGAAAATTTAATTTTCTAGGAAGTCTTTATAGAACATTGAACAATACCCTGCAATTTCGTTTTGCATAACGGTTTTGTGAAGCCCGTTATATGCTTAAATTATACGTCATGTTTCCCTGACGTGGTAAAAGGGGTTTTTTCTTTGTCATACCCTCCTAACTAGACATTTTTATATATGGAGACGCCCCATTTCATTGTGAAATAAAATTGTAGATTTAGACATTAAAAATGTAGATAAATAGATTTAAATCACATGATGACTTCCATGCCAATTTCAATAGTCCTCGCCAACCGACGTCAAACACAAAGGCAGCCGCACGAGATTTACATGCATTTTGGCCTCCTTAGCGTCAGACACAGAGACAGATGCGCCACACAGAATTAATGTTGAAAGTCCTTAGCTCAGACCTAAAGCCCTGCCTAATTTTCATTCCGGATATATCAAATTATCATTAGAAATTAACTACCCTGCAAGATATTTAATTAAAAATACGGGGTTATCACAGAGAAAAAAATTAGAAATGGAAATATTATACATAAAGTGATGATGTAAAATCAAATGTACAAATGTAGTATGTTACTGGTAGATGGAATAATGTTGAAAGAAATGAAAGAGTGTGCATTTTACGTAATAATAACCAGAAAGAGAGGAATTTCATTTTTTACTGAAATTTAATGCATTATGTAGTATTCGAAAAGTTTTTTGTCGCAGAAATACTATGTACATCCCAATTGATATTATACAATTCTGTCATTTGATGACAAGAACTGATCCAGCTTTCTTAAGAAAATCGTGTATATTTATCTCCAAAATTTTTGACACCCTCTATCCTCCTATAATTTCTACTCGTCCATAATTATCATAAATATGTATATTTTTTATTTATTTATTCACCAATCAAGGGTCCTCAAGGGGCATATACAATTAAAAAACAATATAATCATGATTATAACAGTATTAACATGTAATGGTACTTTTGCATCAGGTGCAAAATTGGCTTGATCCTCACTTGCAAAAGTTCTCAGATATGAAGAACTGGTATAGTTCACGATGAAATATAAGCATCACATATGATATGATTAATACAATATAAAGAAAACACAAAGTTGCTTTACACTTTGAACAATGCATAGGCGTCGGAACTGGGGTGGGGTGGGGGTTTAGCCCACCTCACTTTTTTGCAAAGATAGACATTATATTTATATATACAGGCATTGAAAATTGGGGGTTACCTTTTTTGTTGGTTTAGCCCCCCCCCCATCCCCCCCCCCCACTTTCAATTAGCCACCTTTTCAAATTGCTTCCGATCGACGCCTATGCAATGAACAGACAGATGTCAAACAGGTAATCATAAAATCACGCGGTATCATAACAAAATGTAGATTTTGCTGGCCTGGTACCATGGGTTACCAGGGGACAATGCCTATTGCAGTTTGGAAAAAATGAAACTCTGAAAAACCTGCTTGCTCTTGTACTATACATAATATGGTTTTTGAGAGAAATAAATGAATGAATGTCTATTACTTTATCATGTTTTAATATCTGTAATTATTATATATGTTACAGTGTATATGATTATGTCCAATAGGCCCTGATTTGGTATAAATACCCAGTACTATTCCATATCAGTGGCGAATCCAGGAATCGTGTAAAAAGGGGGGTGAAGTCGGAGAAGGGGCGCACAGCCGCACCAAAATTTTTTTTGTAAAATTGGGGGGGGGTGTGTGTATTTTTGATTTGAGTTGAAACACAACTGTATGGAACGCCATCACTGCCTTATAGCATACAACTATGCATTTATTATGTCAATTTATCATTACATGATTTGAACATACACATTCCATTTTTTATGTATGTATATATCCCATCATGTCAATGCTGCATTACATGAAGTATTACATCTTTCAGTTGCTATATATATATATATAAGTGATAATGTGTTTACATTGTGTTAAAACTTTCTTGCATGAAATGAATTTTTCTTTACATCATTTCATTTCTTTAAAATGTGGTTTGAAACTGCATTACGTCAAGTAAATTGTGTTTTATAATTAAACTATCATTACACGAAGTCAAAAGCCCATTCCTTTTTGGTATATTTCCTTTATATCATCAAAATTACGTGATATGGATTTATCTTTATTTTACGGCGAGGGCATCATGATTAGTGTACAATGTTAAGCTTTATGTCATGCTTTATTATGTGGTGTAAAAATGCCATAATGTGAACATATCTTTATATTAATCCTTTAACATTATGTCAGATTATTCCGTATGTATATATAATGTATGTATATATCTTATGTATTTAAAAATATCTTTATATTGTGTTAACTCTTTATCGTGTTGATTCCAAAAGTTCATTACCAATAAAAAACAGATAAACACAAGCTGTATATCTAATATATAATGAATGTTGAAGTGATTTAATGGGTAAGAAGGGGGGGGGGTCCTGATTGATTAGGACAAATTACAGGCACACATATCCACATATTTATAAAAAATCTTGAAACTGTATATTTTTGTTGAGACACAAAGAGGGTATTGTAATATATCTGGGGGGATCGAGGGGATCTCCCCGACAGCATTTTCGGATAATCATGTTGTCAAGTTTTTTCGGATAATGTTTTTATCATATGTAAATGTAAGTGCAAAAAAAAAGATTGTACATTGAAATGTAAATATTATGTAATATTATATATGAAGAATATTAATTTTCAAAATTGAACTTTAATGCAATCGACGGATTGGAATAACTTGTAAATTTATTCAAAATGAAAGGATATAACAAGAGTTATAATATATTGTAATATGTACATTACCTTGTAAGTTTAAGACTTTTATTAAAAAAAAAAAGAATGAAAATAAAAAGAAAAAAAATTATTGCTGACGGTCATAATATTTGATTTATTTAATTATGAGATTAAAGTAAACACCACTGAATTTCGATCGTGACTTTAATTAATCTCTTTAGGGTACCCATCTCATTTTTAGTGCTTATACCACTGGGTGAAATTTAATAAAGAAACTTTAACATAATCGTAATATGCCATAATGTAGAAGAGTCCTATTTTACTTTTTGATCAGTTAATAAAAACTTATTCTCATGAAAAGTAAACATAGCAAAATGCATGGACTATAATGCCATTATAAATGTCATAAAGAGTTGACAGGATGTAGAGGAAAGTTAACACGATGCAATAATAGTGTGGGTTATTGCATAAAGAGTTGACATAATGTAATGGAAGGTTGACACAATGAAAAGTAGAGTGGATTAATGTCATAAAGAGTTGACATAATGTAATGGAAGGTTGACACAATGCTACTCTGTGGGTTAATGTCATAAAGAGTTGACATAATGTAATGGAAGGTTGACACAATGCAATAGTAGTGTTCTGCTATAAGGCAGTCCTCTCATGGACCATTCCTGTATATCCCCTTTATTGAAACTTTACACTATAATGCCTATGGCTATTTTACCTGTTTTGGCCAAATTCAGACATGTGT